AGCCACGCCAGGGACAAACCCGCGGACTGCACCGGGGAGCCACACGCCACCCTCCATGTTTGCTCTCTGGGACAGTATAGGATAAATTTGCTTATTTTAGGCTTTCTGCCTTTAAGGAGAACCTTCACCGTGCGCAACAGATCTGAACCCCTGTCCCACATCAGCTCTAATAGTAAAAAGCCCTGGGTTTGCTTTCAGGTCTTTTAGCAAGAAGGAATCCACTGCTGCAGTTCCACGGAGAGCTGGCAAACGTTACTTTAACTTCATCTCTAGTTAGTAGCAGAACTAAGATTTATCATCATCTTCGCAAGACCAAGAGCTTATCCCATTTCTCCAGAACATACTTGCCTTGACGGAAGGTGTCAGAGAGATTTAGCAAGCAGAGACTGAGATGAACCCAATTTCAACTCGTTTCTTACAAGTATCTCAAATGAACCACGGTCAAAGAGCGCACCTTATGATAAAAACCATCAATAATAAACCGAAAGATGTTTTGATCTCTGTTAGTATCTTCCCCTGTCCACCATTCTCTCAGCATTTTCCAAGTGATCTTTTGACACACCCATGTGGAGGACGAACCCTCGGGTCAGCGGCCGCTCGGGTAACCTTCCGCCACTGTTTTGGTTTTGACACGTTAGGCCTTAAACCAAAACATACTTCGCTCTTGAAGGACAAAAACTGCAACAGCAGCCTTTAAAACGCTTTGTTAGCTTGTGTTTAATGACGACACCGTTTTAGGATAAGCAAATCAAAGCGCCGTTAGAAGCCCTATGCAGGTTTTTCCTGCGAGCAGTCCATTTGCCGAGCGCCCTGCGTGCCTCAGCACCCCCTGCCCGGTCCCCAAACGCCACCAGCGGCCGCTTACCTCTTCATAAAACTTCAGCTGAGGGACGGCTTCATCAATCTCGTTCAGGCAATAGTCTTTAAACAGCAAAAATCCTGGGGAGAAAAAAAAGCAAGAAAAAAAAAAACGGTTTCAGAAAAAAAAAAAAATGCATCATTCCTATGATAACTTGTGAAAAGGGACACAGAAACCCCCGGGGGGCGTCCTGGGTTGTACGCACCCGTGTGAGCATCCCAAACTGCCAGGGCTGGGCAGCGCTGGTTACCCAGCAGCTCTACAGCATTCGGAACGGGCAAGGCCCGCAAACCCCACTCACCTCCCACGGACACATTGAGCATATTCCAATTGCTACCTGCGAGAATTTTGTGAGAGGTTTATGCCAGGCACCGGAATATCCCATTCCTCTTCACGGATCAGATTTTGTTTCTGCTTTTCAGAGTAAAAAAAAAAATAGATTCTCTTCCCAAGTTTTGGTCTTTTGAAATGGATTTACCCACTTTTTATTGGTAAGACGCAACCCCTTCTGCATTCGATGGCAGAACTACTGGTTGGTGTTACCTCTAATAGGCTTTACAGCACAATAAATTACAGCAGGATCTTTACAGTTCCTTTGCAAGCAATTTAAAGCATGACCTCTGCAGCCTGCGGAGAAGTATTTTCCACGGAAAGCACTTTAACGCGCCGTTCCAGGCGTCCCCCCATGGAAGCGCTGCCTTTGCTGCCCCTGTCCGTGGGCATCGTCCCCGTTACCCGCAGGCCCCTCGGAGCTGCGTGGGACGGGGCTCTCGGCTCAGCGCAGCAGGCAACGCCTTCCCTTGTGTAGAATGACCGCACGCTTACCGAAATCACACCCAGGCCACGGAAGCGTAAACTAAAATAACAAGGCGAGCGAGAGAAGGCAGAGGGGCGAAGTGGAGGGAGGGCCGGCGCCGGCTGGGAACCGCTCCACCCCGCTCCATCCCACCCGGCTCCTCTCCCAATGGGGCAGCACATTGAGATATAAAACACCCCTCGAGATATAAAACACCCCTTTCCAACTTAAAAAAAAATATATATATACACACACACGTCAGAGACCTATTTTTTTAATTAAAATGTAACTGCAATTTGAACTTACAGCAAGATTATTTTATATAATACAGCAGAATTATATTGCTCAAGGAGCACGCAGCCCCTGACACCGGGTCACCTTTGCCAGAGTGCCCCATCTTAAAAAAAAAAAAAAAAAAGCAAAACCTGCCTCATGTACAAGATATTAATTTCACTGTAATGCGTACAGGACAGCATTTAAGTGCCAGTTATGAACAGCGTGTCCTTTCAACTCACTACCATCTAATCTTATCAAAGAGCTAAATAAGAAAAAAAACCAACAAACCCCAACCACCAAGCTCTGGGAAGCAAACCCATTAGTCTCAGCAGACCAAGCAACGCTCATCGGGCAAACAAAAGCTTTAATTTATGTATCATGAAAATATTTATCAGCTTCTGGTAGCCCCCCTAGCTCTACCTGGCTGCCACATTAAATTTCCTGTCGGAAAAGCATTTTTTCCCAGGGCGCCCTGCATGGATTTGGTCACAACCGCAATACTCGGAAAGGGATTAGGAGCGGACAACTCGGGCGCTTGGCTCGACTCCTTTAGCTCACTAGGATGCTATTTCGAAGATTAGACCAACTGGGTTGCGTTCTCTAAATAAGGGCAGAACTCTAACGAAGCGATCCTCTTACGAGATTCTCCAAACTTTCTCATTATCCTCAAGAAGAAGAATCGTTCTTGAAACACTGGATAAACAAATGCGCTTTTCTGAAAACAAACCAACCAACACCACCACCCCCCCCCCCATCTTCTATTCCTTAAAAGCACTTTGCAAGTTGAGTGCTTTTTTAGTTTCTGGGTGGTTTTTTCCTAAGGGCTCATCCTAGTTCCCAGGTTACCAGATTCATTCTCCCTAAGTTGCCTTCCCCTGCGGCACAGGAGGACGCAGAGAAGCTCCGTGCCGCCCCAGCAGCCCCCACGCCTCGGACGAAGGCCGGAGCTCCCAGCCAGGCGGGCAAAAGCCACCAGGCCACCGCAGGCCACCAGGGCGGGGGACAGTGGTGCCCTCCCGGGCAGGCACCCCGAGCAAGTCCCAAAGTGTCCCCACCACTGCCACCCCCCCAGAGCGGCTCAGCCCCGGGAGCAGACCCCATCCCACGTTCCCCCGCTCCCAGAACAAAACCTGCTGCTTGCGGAACTGAACCCCGTTCCGTATCTTACCCATGGTGGCAACGGCAGCAGATCCCGAGCAAATAATGCTGAACTGACTGAACTTTTTATTTGGACAACGAACCCAAGAAGCTTACAGCCATGTAATTAAGAGACGAAAGAGTGGCACAAACAGCGCTGAATGCAGTGAAAGAAAAATCCCTGGCGCCGTCCCAGCTACTGGCCCTTTCCCAAAAAAACCCACAAACAACAACAAAAAAACCAAAACCAAACCACCAAGACAACTGGGGGAGGAGTGTGAAAATATACCAACACAAATTTTCAACAATGCTGTGCCAAACATTTTAGCCCTGTTTAATAATTTCCCAAACTTTTTAATTCAATTATCGTAGAAAAATCAAAGGCTCCCACGGCCGGCGACCGAGGCACAAGAGCAGCTCCTGCTGCCCGCGCCGTACAGCCGCTCCTCGTCCCCTCTCTCTTCTGAGCTGCACCGCCGTGCAAAAAAACAACCCTAGAGACATACACATCAAGAAGTTAGAAACTTTTATGGGTGATTAATAAAGTCCTAAGAAGTTACGGCCATACGAATCAATACTGAGAAATCGCTGCTGGTCAGGTTCCAGTGCAGATGAGTGCAATTATTGCAGCAGTGTGTTAGAGTGTACCGTAAAAAAAAAAAATATATATATATTTTTTTAAAGTAGTGTAGTAAAATAAATTACAGCATGAAACAGCTCTTCTCCGTGAAGTTACCAACACTGCAATCGCTCAGGAGCAGGACACCCGAGATACCTGCACGCCTGTTGGGGACGAAGCCCCCCGGGGGCTCTCGCAGCCCCGCAGCACCCTGAGCAGCAGCAGGGCGGTGGGGAGCTGGGGGGAGCCGGGGCAGCCCCTCGGCCCGGCCCCCCCCATGCCCCTGTCTGTTACAGTAGGAGGTGACACTGAAATTCTCTTGTGGTCTGAAAAAAAATGGTTAAGATCTTCTTTTAATTGTTGTTTTTTACAAGTTAGAAGGGGGGCCAGAAAAAAAAACCTGCTTGAAAAGGCCAGCAGCATCCAAGGAGAACATTATTCTCGCACTTGGGGAGTGTTTAACAGATCAATTACAGCATCAGCTTTCATCAGCTCTTCACCATCGTCTTCTCAGGAAAAAAATAAATACATTCCCTGTTAAGGAAATGCTGTTTGATACCGGCTACACTGAAATAAAACCAGGTATTTCGAGTTTCCTTTGAAGAACCGATGGGCTTGGGAGCATGGATGTGCACGTATTAAGATATTGCTTAGGGCCAGGGTTGTGGTGGGACGGCAGGGTTAGGGGAATGGTTGGGCTTGGTGATCTTAAAGGGCTTTTCCAACCTAAACGATTCTGTGATTCTATATCCCGCCTATATCCATGCAGCTTATCTGCTCATCAAAACCCGGGATGTCGCACAGACCAGCTTCCCTTGACAGAAGAGTTCCTAGATTATTTTTTAGCAGACATGCTCCAACCAAGCCATAAGGATTATGTACCATAAGCCTTCCAAGCAACAGTTCAGAAGCGGGCGACACGCACTGCTCTCCAAGGAAGTCCTGGGTTACTTCATCCTCGGGGCTGTTAGTCCAGATCCCCATGGTACAACCAGAACCTACGCACTCTGCACACCTCCAGCAATACATTTCCAACGACCGCGTGACGGTGCCTGCACCCCTCACCCAAAGACTGCCTGCTGGCTTCAGCACTGGAAAAACTCCTCTGGAACGGCGGGCGGATAGCCAGCAGCAGAATCCATCACTGCTCCTGCGGTGGCAACGAACACAGCAATCGCTCGTCCCGCATGGCCACCGGCGAAGAGGTCCAGCCCCCTCCCTGCACCGGGGAAACGAACTTCCTCCCCACTACAGTCTTTCACACATGATTGATGAGAATCAAGATTCTTTCAGAGGTTTGGGGGTTTTTTTTTGGTTTTTGGTTTGTTTTTTTTTTTTTTTAAGTACATCCTAACGCTTGGCTTACATCAGGCAACCCCCAGGGCTGCTCTTAAAATCAGCAGCAACGCAGACATGGGAGACGATTTGTGGGTGGCTGGCACAACCTGTTTCTGCAGCAGGTTGTATATGGGGAAGGGTAAGCCGGGTGATGGAGTTGTTCTTAATTAATCGGGAATCTCATGATTAATGAGGTTTGGGGTTTTTTTCCACTTGCCTCGTGAGAAGAGGGGGGGAAGGTGACAACTCTGGCGTTTTCTCGGTCAAAATGACAGTGATGTCAGGGAGCAAAACACATCCCTCCTCGCCCTGCCTGGGGGCAGAGCTGCTCCGCTGCGCAGCACCTCGGCGGGGAGCTGGGTCCCACGTACACTGGGAATCGCTGCCGTGGTGCCGGGAAGATGGGTGGCCTGCAGGAAAACTGACCAGAGGCTGATGGTCAAGGACGAGGAATGAAGAAGGACCCGGGGACTGTAAGAGGCTCTTGCAGAGCCTGGAGGACCAAGATGTTAAGGAAAAACCTTTGGGGAAGCCAAGAAACAAAACCAGGTTGCCAAGCGCTGAGCGCGGTTTTTAGCGACTTGCAATGACTTCACTAAGGATGGACAACGGGGGAACACAGGATCAGAATCTCCACTGTCCGGTCGAGAGCATTGCTCGGAAGTATCTAAAGCTCCTAAGTAGCAAGAAAAATTCAGAAGATTTAAAATAAATTCTTCATTTAAGTCCTATTCTCAGATTTTAATCTTTTTTTTTGAATGATTGGCCTTAAACCTCTAGCTCTTTTGCAGCCCAACTGCAAATGCAAACACACTCCTCCTCCCCCTCCTTGCATTGTCGGCTTGGCTGATGGTGCCATCCACGTCCCCCGGTATCAGCACGCTGGAAACCCCTCCACTACCCTGAATTCAAAC